TTTTTAAATTTGTGAGTTCTTGTATGACTCTAACAACAGAGCTTAATTTGAGCAAACATGGTAAGCTTGGCCTTGGGACTTTGAGTTAAACTTCACGGGACACTCTTCTCTCTGGCAATGATGCAGTAGGAGCACACGGAGAAGACGAGTTTAATTTTATATGAAAAATAAGGAATGTATTTTAGTGCCTTTGAGGTAGAAAGCAGCAGACGCTTTAGAGCCTGAACTGACTGTACAAAAAATAATGCTTAATTTCTCTCTGCTGCTAGAAGAATCTTCCTCATGGCTTTGTTCATGCAAACGTTACAGCCTCATCATATCCTGTCATGTGTGCTGACATGTGGTGCGATATGAATTTAGTTCCCTCGATATTCCAAGCTGAAAGATTTCAGTGTCTCGGTGTGGAGAGTGTGATAAATCCACAGAGGGCTCACATTTGCCATGAAATCATTCTCACACTGAACACTGGCAATCAAGTCTCAATCAGCTGCAGTGGCACATGATGAAACCTATCCATGAATGTGACCCTCCAGTGTGAAAGACAGTCAGATGGTTTAATTCAGCAATCACCACCCAGCCCAAATAACTGATTAGATCCATTTTGTCTTCACTCAGATTTCATGCACTTCAGTTCTCATTCGAGACAAGAAACACATTATTTCTTTGGTTTACAACAAGCAGGTGTGAATGAGCAAAGCAACCTCTGATTTCTTGTAAACAAATTCTCATCAGTTCATAAAAAGACTGCCCCGTTGACTCTTAAGTTTTGACGGCCATATGCAATAGCCAATCAAAGCCAGACTTTATTGGCTGTTGCTAGGATACCAAACTTTCCATATGTGAATTATCCTGGACATGATGAGATTTGTGCAGGCTTGCCACTTGAATTCATTGCATCATTCCACACACTATGCACTTCAAAAATACTTGGAATGCATAAGAGCAGGAAATCTAATGAGAAAAGCTGAAGAGACTAGCGGAGGGACGACAGACAGCAGCTTGGAAGGAGATTGGATGCCTGCAGGAGGGCTGATACTGAAAGTTCTCACATATACTGTTGATGAGAAAGACATGTTTTCTTTGGTCAACAGCAGCTTATATTGTGGAGGTAATCTCTTTTTTCATGTTTGTGCCGGGATGTTTTACCATCACAGAGCTGTAGCATGGCAGATGTGAAGCTTAGAATATTCACAGGATCCTGAATATTCCAGCATTTACGATAAACTCATTTTCTTCCCTCCACGTTCACCTCTGAAAGTGTTAAGGAGAATGTATTTCCATGTGTATCATGTTGAAATCAACAGCAGCAAAGCCAATTTGTGTACTGAGTCATTTTTTTGAAAATTCAGTAGCTTAAGCTGCAAAAAGCTGAAATCCACCAAGACCTGATGAATGAATGTGGTCAAATAAATGCTAAACAAAAGGAGAAAAAACTTATGTAAGGCATCCTTGACTTTTTTATATATATATAACAAAATCTGAAGAAACTCTTGGGACAACTCCCCAAATGTCTACGAATAAGACAACAAACGTACAATAGTGACTGCACAAAGTACAGTGAAAACAAACTAAGCTATATAATGCACAGGAAGTACAGCCTTATGTTGTGCAGCTGACGCTGTGCTGTAGTGTCTAATTGAACCAACCCACTGGGAACCAGGTAACAGCCCCTCTCTCCAGCTGGGAGTGACATGTTAACAGGGAGTATTCCTCATTTGGGAATATTAATGGATCATTAAACATTAATAGGTCCCTCAGATCAGTATTTGCACTTTGCCGTACTCCCCCCTTTAACTGGTGCATATGTGACATAGAGAGCTATGATAAGTATTCATGCCACATCACACTGGAGCAACAGACATCAGATGGAGAGCAAATAGTGATTACCAGGTAGTGCAATCTCATGCAAACAAACCAAGCAAGATGAATTCATACTAAGTTGTCAAAACATGTCAAATTTCACCATGAGCCTAAGGGGAAAGGGTGGGTGCAAAAAAGCATTAGCAATGGAGTAATTGGCATTAAATTGTCCAAAACACGTAATGATGTGGGAGTGAAATGCATGCTGGCACATATAATAATCCCCTTGTAATGAGAATTCACTAGATATCACTGGCTTTGTTCATGCCCCAGCATCTCTGAAAGAGCTTAGCCACTAGAACAGTAACAATAAGCTGTGGAGTAGGAGATGGCATGAAATACAGCCCAGAGCAAAGTGAAATTGCACACAAAATGAAATAATTTGCTTAATCAAAAGAAAGGTGGTGTTAGAGACTTTAAAGTGACTCGTCCATTTCTCTGCTTTCTGGAGATAAAATCGAGACATTTAGCAGATAACTCTGTCATCTTTCAATGAGGGTGCACTTTAAGTGGTGTGCAAGTGACAAGAATCAGGTTTGAGCTTTTTTGTTGTTAAAGATTAGGATGAAGACAAAGTAAGCCTTGCAAATCCCAGGCTGCGATACCACAAGGACAAAATGACGAATGATGACAGCAAATAAACCTGTGACGAACCAGAATGAGTCCAGCTTGTCATTCACAGTAGCTTAGAGAGGAACGTTTTGATTTGGTGGAGAAAATAGTGATGTGACTTACTTAAAAGGGCCAATACATCTATGCAGAAATACTCTATTTAACATCAAAGTGTTCAGTTTGAGACGCATACTGCTGTCATATGAAAAAAATGTTTTCATGACCTCTTGCAGTCCTGTGAAAAACAAGGTACACCTGTATTGGGTCCAGTTTAATCCAGTGGCACAGCCAAAGGGTTTAGTTTCTAAAGGGTCATAAGATGATATAACTGATTACAATAAAGTTCTGCTATACACCATTTGTATTCTGTGTGTGGACTAATGAGATATTTATTTATTTACAGTGTTACCTCTTTGCACAATAGAACTTTAAAGGTGAAATCACATGGAAGAAATCATGAAAACATAAAGACATCCTAAACATCACAAGGAGTCCCCGACAACCCTTAGAAACTGTGAAGCACGGGTATAACTCAAATTAATAAAGTTTGTTTATTGTATTAAAAATGCTTTAATAGAAAAAAATAAAATGCAATTACTCAACTAATGTGCCACATAACTCAGTAAATGTGCTTGCTTTTGACCACCTCACTTCCAGTTTTTGTTTTTGCAAAAACAGGCTTTTATGTATGCTTCAGGATTTTTTGAATAAGTAAATGTGGCAGAGGTGGCTACACTTATTCGTTCTAATTCCAGAGAATAACTGGCCTCTGCAAGGATAACTCATTCAACTTTAAATTTCATCAAGCCCATCTGCATAATGGTTGGGTATTAATTTGAATTGGAATTTAAAGTGGATCTATTAAGTAGCCACAAATGAATAACAGCAGCTTAAGGAGATGATAACGACTTCTGAAAAATGCACCAGATGGACAGATCTGTCTTTAAAATAAAAAGGAACAGATAAAAAAGATTTGTGGACCCAACTTTAGGAGCTTAGAATTATACATATTTTTGCCTAATTAAAAGAAAATTCATCCAAGACATAAAATGAAGACAAAAATTCAGTCCATCAATCCTTTTCTGGAGGTTCTGGGAACACTGCCTGAATAATAAATATATAATAAATATAGACTTTGATAGCTTGAAGCTCTATATAACAAAGAAAAAGCTGTATGGCATTCTTGAAATTCTGCCTTGAAATAATTTATAGCACGCACGTCAATGCATCCTGGATCACAGCACATTACGCAATACGCATAACCTATTGATAAGAATCCAGCTATTTGCATATTCTTATCCCCTATTACTGAACAAATACAAAAAACATAATTAAAGCACAAATAGAATTGTCATCTAATAACAAACAAGATTATAATCCACTTGAGGAGTACTTTTACATAATTCATTTGCATATTTAACAATTAAGTCAAGAACAAAAAAGTCTGCAACGACAGACGATTGTCCTATTGTTGTTAAAATGTTGCTTTAAAGCATTTTCTAATCTGCCAGGTGTATTTCTGTTAGACAACAATTAATGCTTTTATAAATGTATATTCAAAGCCATATGATTGCATTCTAATCCTGTTTATGTGAACTCCTCTTCGTGTGGTTAAACTCCCAAGCAAATATAATTAGAAAATGCAGGCCATGTTAGTGAAAATCTAAGGGCCATTCTACAGCTTCAGTACATTTTCTGTCGTCGTCCCCTCCCCCACTTATCATAGGACAAGATGGAACAGGATGGAAAACCTAGTTGCTGAAAACGTGGTTACAAAATATCATTCAAATAAATAAATTTTTTAAAAAAGAAAAAAAGTTTTTCTCTTGTTCCAAATTCTTGACTAAATGCATTTCAAATTAAAATACGTTATGAATCTACGTTTTGGTTGGTTTTGTTATTATGTATGTATGTATATGGAGCAAGCAATAATTACAAACACATGTTGAGAACATATGGAATATTATTAATCTTATTATATTATTATATATTACACATTTATGTCATAGCCTTGTGCAGCCCTATAATGTTATTGGTACTATTTTAAAATTTTCATATGAATATTGTATCCGAGTAAACATCTGATAATAAATACTGAAATTAAAAACACGTATGACTACTGAAAGTTGATCAAAGTAGATTTCCAAAGTATTTTAAATTAATATAACTATTTAGAATGAGAGTGATTATCATTAACTTAATGGTCAGGAACTTATTAAGCTCAATTCTGATTTTTAAAGGATTAAAAAAAAGTATTTATTGATTTATTTGTTTGTTTGTTTGTTTTTAACCTAAATTGTCCTTCAGTTGCAGGACAATCTAGGCTCAATACGTCTTTACTTTTAAAAACAGTTTTGAAGGAAAGCTTAACTCGCCAAAAGAACATTATATAACAATGCAGGCACCTTTTAACAGTTTAAAGTCTTTGGCGTGCTCTTATTTTGACGGGACACTCTCCCCTGACGCTCAGCTGCAAAACGAAACCTTCCAAAACACTAAACGTCAACGAAAAGCACGTGTCGACCTCCCGCTTGCCGTACTTGGCTCCGCCATTGTTTGACAGGTCTCGTTGCTAACCAGAGGCTTTCCTGGTTACCAACTCAACAACACCAAAAGAAAGAAACTTCCAAGCCTTCCATGGCTTTATAGAAAGCTTTTCGACAACACAGAAAGCATGGAAGAGGACAAACGCCTTAGACAGGTACTTTATACTTTCTCCCTCATTTTCTCTTTCACTCCACCGGTGCTAACTTCCGACATCAGTAGTTCGTGTTAGCTTCTGTTTTGGAAGTTCATAGCGAGGCACATAATGTGTTTTGAAACGCACAGAGCACTTTATTATCTGAAGCCACGCTTTTGTTTCAAACTGGTAGAGTAAACTCGTTAAGTTGGCTGACTTTGCCACTTATGAACTGGGTTGACTTGGTATTTATTCGAGCTGTGTGGAAGCGTAATGTTTTAAAGCGTCTTTGGAGCATCAGCACGGGAAGTCCAACCGCTAAGTCTGTTTCACAGTGAAATACGAGTCAGTCATACTGCTGCTGAGTTCTGAACGCAAAGCGTGTGCCGTAAAAATGTTCCTCTCCACGCCAAATAAACGCTGGAGGCGGAGCGAATAATAGTCTTGTAATAGTCAAAACCATTTACTGTGATTTGCAGCGGTGCTCGGGAAGTTATTTTGGGTGCAGAGAACAGTTTAGTAAAAGCCTGCAGGTAGGGAGACTTGCTGTTTGTTTTTCTTTACTGGTACCTCATCTCTTGTCTCCGTAAATTAAAGCAAAACTGTCCCACAATAAAATACTGGGCATACTTGATTACGATAGTAAGTACTTAGATTGAAGTGTTTTTGTGTTAAATGCCACCATTGCTAAAGCAACTTTCATTTTGGAAAAGCATGGGAAGTTTGATTGGCATGTTGCTTGAGTAAGGTTTCATTAAGATTTGTCTGATCCTTGTTTGGCCCTAAAATGAACCAACATTTCTTGGTTCTTTATTCGTTTCAATTACGTGTTATTTCTATAGCGCCAGTTCTGAACAGTCACCTCAAGGTGTTTTATATTGTAGGGTAAATATGTGAAAGAAACCCTAATTAGACGCCCCCCTATGAGCACACACTTGGTGACAGTGAGAAGGAAAAAAAATGAAGAACAGTTAAAGTTGGGTCCTTTTAACAGGAAGAAACCTTCAGCAGAACCAGAGGGTGAGGCAGCCGTTTTGCTTTGGGTGTTTTGGGGTTGAGGAGAAAGATGAGAGAGCAGAGAAAGACAGGACAACAGGCAAAGAGAGGGTCAGAGGTTAGTAATTAGCAATGATTAAACGCAGCAGTGCTGTGTAAACACATAGAAAGTGAAATGTGAAACAAAAAAGAAGACTAAAGAAATGTTCAATACATTATGGGAGGCACTCCAGCACTCTAATGCAGCATAACTCTGGAGGGTTCAGGGTCAACTGATCCAGCCCTGGCTATAAGATTTATCATAAAGGAAAGTGTTTGTCTCCTGAATTCAAACTGGGTTTCACATGAGAGGGGCCGGGTGGCTGACTGCTCTGTTTCTCGTTCTACCTTTAAAAACTATGAACCAAAAGTAAGCCTGCAGTCTGAAAGTGCAGTGCTCTCTTAGAATAATAAGGTACTATGAAGTCTTTGAGGTGTGGTAGGGCCTGATTAATCAAGATTTTGAATGTGAGGAGAAAGATTTTAAATTCAGTTCTGGATTTAACAGAGAGCCAATGAAGAGAAGCTAATATGGGAAAAATATGGTCTCTTTTCAGTCCTAGTTAGTATTCTTTCTGCAATACATTGAATACATTCATTGCAAGCAGGTGGTCAAAGAGTGTAGCCAGAACTGTACCAATGAAACTGTACAGAAAGAAGAATTACAGATGTGTTATTGCCATGGTTATCCATAATCAGTAATTGTGATGCAGCCAAATTTCTATAAAAGGCTATATTCTGACCATAACTAGTCCTTATGGTCTCTTTAAATTTTGTATTATTTCCTTATATTCCTTTGCTGTTGCTCTGTGCTGTAAAGCCTTGGGATAATAACAGTTTAACTTGGCAACTGATCTATAAGAGAACTTATAGAAAAAGCAAACAGCTGCTCTTTGTTTGTAGAAATTAAGGAAACTTGTGTGGGCACTATGTAGCAAAACAGCTTTGTCTGCTGTGTGATTGAAATGGAAAATCAGAATCAACGTTGTGGTATTTATCTTAAGTGGCCAGGTATTGCTCGTAAGTGGTGAGGTTATCTCTAAAAATGTGGAGGATCATTACCTGAGAAGGCTCTACAAATACATTAATTTCCAGAGGTTCATGTTGAGGTGCATTTCTTTAGAGAGATTTGAAGGATTACTGAGTCATTAATGGTAACCTAATGCCAGTGATATAAGGGGTGTCACACAGGTCTGAACATCCAAGTCCAATAATGAGCTAAAGTATGGCTTCACAGGTATAATCCTAAATCTCGACTCCCTATTTTGCTAAGAGAGGCACCGCTGATAGAAAAGGTTAATCCTCCCTTTGATTAAAACTGGAGGATGCCATTTGTTCTGGCCCCGTTGTCAGAAATACAACCAGAATCTGGGCAAGAGATGTGACGTTTGAGGTGCTTTAAGCGTTTAAGAAAACCAGTTAATTTAGGTAAAAGCAAGGTGACATGGGATAGACCTACTGCAGAGGTTTAATTCTGTTTTTGAACGTTATGCACTTCCTGTTATGCTGTGTGGACTTTTCAAATGAAAATGGGTGATTCCTTAAACCAAGTGACTAGTTAGTAACTAACTAGGTAATTCTTTCATTAAAAGGAAAATTAGTAATCAAGAGTGATAGCACAAACAAAAGCACAATCTGATGTGCTGAAAATGCTGCAGGGTTATAACTACTGTTTATTTTTAGCTTATTATTCCAGGTGTTTTTTTAGTTATCTGTTTGACGTATTAAATACTGGGAAACAGTGAAAAATTAGCTTTGTGATTTTGTGTTTTCTACAAACAAGTTTTCCTGGATTTTTTCACACTATATTGCCAAAGGTATTTGTTTGTCTGCCTTCAGACGCATGTGAGCTTGACATCCTGTTCTTAATCCATCGGATTTAATATTATGTCGATCCACCCTTTGCAAGTATGACAGCTTCAGTTCATCTGGAAAGGCTTTCCACAAGGTTTAGGAGTGTTTTTATGGAAATTTGGTGGTTGCAAGGGTGTGTAGCTGACTGGTTATTCCCAAGTCTGGTGTGACTGAGGAATAGCCAAGAAACTAGGTTCAGTATGACTGAATAATCAATAAATAAAGTCATTAGGTATTTAAATGTTTAGGTCTTGCTCCTGTTAATCCACTTTTGTTTTATCATCTTGTAAATATTGGTCAGTTTTTGAGGATACTGTAGCTCAAACTGCTTGCAACCTCCGTTTACACCATGAGCTTTAATTCTGTGATATTTTTGGATTTAGTAAATTACAGGGAGAGACACATTTCCTTATTTAAGCTCTTCTTGTAGTGTGTTTACCATGTGAAGGATTAGGTTCAGGAGTTTACCCATCTCCTTCTACTTGGGCCAGATTTATATAAGCAGTGTTGTGGACTGCAGGACCAAGATGTAATAAGGGTGTCAATATTCGTCATGTCAGCAAGTTGTGCTTCATTAATCTGTCTGATTGATCCAGCATCCATGTGGTTCAGTGACCTTGGTTTGCACAAATAAGAACTGCACCCTCGCTGGTGTTACCTGATCTACCGCTCTGCTGATAGGCTTCTGCGTGAGTTATTGAAAGCACAGGACAGAGACTTATGTGGACACCACGTCCACGAGAGTGATGGGAACTCTCCAAGCTGAGGAGGAGGCCTTTTGTTACATTTCATGATATCATGGCTGTAGTAGCAGGATGGACCTAATAGACTTGTTCGAACTAATGAAGGTTGAAGAACTGAGAAAATACTTGGGGACTGTGGAGACATTTGACCTTAGATGAGGTCAAGGGGGTTGGTCTTAGGAGACATCTCTTAGAGGTTAAATAGGTATAAATGCAGCTGCTATGAGATGGATGGTGTCATGCTGTGTAAGCAGAAAATGCTAATCAAGGGCCAGGAGCTAATCCCTTCCTAACTCATTCCTTGGAGATACACAGTTGATTTGGTGGATCGATATAAGTGCTGTGACTCAATGAATGGAATTAAGTGTTAGCCAGACTGGACTCATACAACACGCTAAATTAGTTTTGCTTTAAAAATATTTTAGATGTTCCAGGTGGGCTTCTCTTAGTAGAGAAGTCACAACATACACATACTTTGTTACTTAAGTAGAATTTTCAGGTATCTTTATTTTTCT